ACTAAATAATTAATCCATCTATGATATTAAGCCAAATTTGCCAAGGTTTTGCCATGGAAATTTATTTATTTGTTTGTTCATCTTCTTCCTTCGTGAATTGATAAATACTCATGAACTCATACATTAATGCAAAAGGAAGATACTCATGAAGCGGTGCCGCAATCTCACAGGCGAAGCCTCCGCGGATCTGGTGAGTCGACGTTCGGAGATTAAGGTTTAGTTATTTCACTTATTTGTATCGGCATTTTTTTAATAAATTATGTGGATTCTTGTGTTTTCTTGCATGCACAGTCGGAAGAGGATTTGGCATTGAAGCAACAGCTGGAGTTATATGTAGAAGGAATTCAGAATCCTGATCCTGAACTCCAGAAAGCAGCTCTTCAGAGCATGAGGTAATCAATCCATTGCTAATTTCAGAGTTATATGTAGAGGAAAATTGGAGTTTACAATACAGTTGATTAATTTATATTTTATGTTCGTTTGTTTCATTAATGTTATATCAAGTTGATGTGTCGTGTCATAAGTGAAATTGCAGCTGTCAATGTATCAAATTGTTGGGGGGGGGGGATTTGGATTTTGCTGTTAGTGAGAGCCGTTGCAATGCCAAAATATGCCAAAATACAGCATCATTTTTTACAGTTCGATTTGATATCATTTTTAGGCAAGCAATCCTCTCCTCAGCAAGCTCCATGACTTCTGTCACTAAGTCATTGAAGTTTCTCCGTCCTCATTATGGAAGCCTAAAGGCTTGTTTTGAGATGGAAGCCTAAAGGATGATTAAGATGGAGACCTTATTTAATGTTGGGACTTCCCAATATATATCTCATGGGTAGAATTATTATTTTCCTGTATAAAAGTTGGGTAGGTTTGTTTGTTCATTAGTTTAAGTTTATAAAATCTTTTATTTTTTCAGGTTAGAATTAGCTGTATTCGGTTTAACAAATTTCTTTTCCTTCCTATATGTTTTTTCTCCATACGTCCTGCATTGTTAAATTACTTTCACTTGTTTGCAGAAACATCTAGCTGATGTCTTATTGTGCTGGCGCTGACCATTTCTGCATAAGGCAATCGGGTAGCCCTCGATTCTTTGATTAGAGTACTCATAAGGTCGAGGAAGCAGTTGGTTAGTGTAGATAAGTATTAGTTAGAGTTGCGCAACAGAAGCATAGAAATTGTTTTTAGTAGAAGAGTTGGCAAGTGCCATAAAGTCTCAAAGTTGCCTAAACCCAATGGATAGAAGAGGTTATCAGGTTGTGTTGTAAGTTAACCCGATTAAGTAAGGATAGCAAATAAAAGATTTAGTGTTAGCAGTGAGTTATGGAGTACCATAAGGATTTCCAGTTAGAGAGAGAGAGAGAGAGTTTTAACAGATGATCTTAAGTTAGGGCTTCGAGTTTCCAGCCCTTAGAGTTAGATGTTCTAGCTTTCAAGATCTATCGTAGATGCCCAGTAGAGTTTCAGAGTGAGACCTTTCTCTAGGGAAATTTCGGGGATGAAATTTCTTGGAGGAGGGGAGAGTTGTAATGCCTCGAAACTCGGGCCAATAGTTTGGGTCAGCCCGATACCTTTAAGTTAAGCCAATTAAACTTCCCAAGATAGTTGGATCAAGTTATATAAGTATTAGGCTTAAGTAAGGCCCAAGAGTTAAGGGTAAATGATGGTTTTAAGTAGGGGTAAATATGAGAGGGATCAAAAGAGTAGTTTACCCATAGTTGGTTTTAAAGGGTATAGACCCCCTTCTTTAGATGGATTTCACGAGAACCTTCCCCAAAAATATTTTCTTCTTTCTCTTCTTTTCTCCTTTCTTCTTCTTTCTCCAGAATAAGCCAAAGAGGAGCAAGTTTTTAGTGTTCCAAGTTTAATTTGAAGAAACCAAGGTAAGAACTTTAATTTTCTTCCCTCAACTTTTTAAGTCCCAAATCATAGGTTTTGGGTTAAGATTTCAAAATATGTTTTTGGGAGTTGAGAGAAATCAAGTGTTTTAAGCTTGTTTTTGGGTAGATTTGAGTTGTAGGAGTTGTATTTAAGTTTAGTTAAAGAGGTGAAAAAGAGTTTCAAAGAGGTCAGGTAACACACTATCACCCTTTCATACTCTAGTTGAGTAGTAATCCATTTCCTTGCTTGGTTTAGTTAAAGAGGTGAAAAAGAGTTTCAAAGCAAATGATAAAGGTAAGGTGATTCCTAGTTGAGTTGAGGGAGATTTTAGCAACCAAGGAGGTCAGGTAACACACTATCACCCTTTCATACTCCTAGTGATCATTAGAGATGTTTTCTAGCTTGAGAGTTAATTATAAAGCTTAGTGTTGCATGATCATGATAATTTCCATGTTTTGATGTTTAAGTACCTTGTAAAGTCTTATTTATGCTCCTCTTTAATCACAGAAGACTTTAAGAATATTTGGGGATCTCACTAAGGTCTTTGGGTTTGATGAACATGAGATTTTTGAGTGAAAATGTGTTTTCTGCAGGTGGAGTATCGATATTATGGGGATAGTATCGATACTTATTCATCCTTCCAAACAAAATACGTGTTATCTGGGTAAGAGTATCAATACTCTTACAAGAGTATTGATACTTTAGGAATAGTTTCAAAACTCCCAGATATCGAAACTTGTCAGAACAAAGGGCTAAAAAGTATCGGTACTTGTATAAAGTATCAAAACTTTAACAGTAGTATCAATATTCCAGGGATAATATCGATACTTTCAGTCTGTTTTGAGTAGTAAAGGCAAATTTTGAGCATTTTAGACTCGAGGTACCCCAACACTTTAGTAATTCTTCAGATAAGACTACAAGTGAGAACGCTAATGTTATTTTTAAACGTAGAAACAAGTTAAAGTTAGGAGAAATAAAACTAGCCTTGTTTGAATGCTCGAGGAAACGACCAGGACACCCGAGTTCCTTCAGAAAAGCTAATAGAGTCGACAATATAGATTCAATCCAGATATACTTAGGTAGGGTCGAGGCCCCTCTGACTAACTATGTTTGCCGAGGCCTTAACACTCTCTAGAAGATAGTATGGGTTAGTCAGGGTATGGTTTCCTATGTAGAGAATTTCGGGGGGCATATCTATGGTAGACTAGAGGGGTGTGTGGGCTCCGAGATGCAGAACCTTTAATCGCAACATGATGTCTACTACAGCGTAGAGAGTGAGTATTCGAGAATACTCACTCAAGTAGTGTTTAAAGCAAACTAGCTTAGGCGCAAGGTTCAACACTCAAGTAGTGGGATAGTAGAACATATAACATTATACTTGATAGTTTGAGCATGTCATGAACACTTTTAGTATGACTTAGTTGTTACTGTAGCACTGAGCTAGTTAGCTAAGCGTTTGTAATTTGTTTCCTTAGGCAGGTTAGTCGAGGAGCAGTCCGAGGACTTTTTGTCAGAAGCGATCCAGACCCAGCTAATGTAGAGTACGTCTCGAGTACATCTTTAGAGGGCATGCATATTTGTAAACTCATATTTATATATTTTTTTTGTATGAGTCGTAACTCATTTTATACTATGGTATGTATGATTTAAACATTATTTTGGGAGCTCCTAATGTAAACTATTTTATTTAACTTGTAGTTGATTTATTTTAGCAAGAGTGATTATAAATAGTCATTTTAAAAGAAGAAAAAAATTGGTTAGTCACTCCGGTGGTTCCGTGTGATATTCTAATCGGTCGACTGTGTCGTACTAGTTGAGGATGTTACATCTACTATTAAGGGGAGTATTAATCATAATGTCACGGCCCACACCCCCCACGGGCCTCGAACATGCATCTTGATCTGTGATAAATAACTTCTAATCAAAAAATTTAAAATGGTTTTCCCAAACCTTCTCCTACAACTTGTAATAGATTCAAATACCCTGACTTGCTGATTTTAATTGGTAATTACAGTTCCTTCACAATATTGCAACATCTTGCCATAAGGGGGAATCTTGTTGCTTTCTATGTAATCAACTGGATTTTCAGTACAATTCCTGCTTCGGGGACGTTGACGTTTATGTTCCGATTATGTCGACAACCATCTTATTGGGCAACTATGCTTGTAAGTTTCACTTTCTGCCTATTATTTGCTTTTCTTTATTCTCTTATTCACTTAGTTCCTCCCCTCGAAAGTTTACCAGTGCCATAAAATGCTTGAGTTGTTTCTCTTTTGTAAACAGCTCATCGTTGCAGCCGGAATGGGTCCGGTTCTAGCTCATCGTTCTCTCTTATTTTATTTATCGCATTTTCAATTTTTCTATTTTGTTCCCTATAATTTACAAATTAAATCATTTTACTCACTCCGTCATTAACTTTTTAACGGTGTTATAACATGACACAAATATTAAAACGACGTTATTTTAAAAAACTCAAATGTACACCAAAACGATGTCGTTTCGAATCCTCATATTTTCCCCCATTGCCACCGTTAACCACCAAGCTATTTTTCAATCCGGACACCGTCGACCGTTGTTGATGATGGTCATTCGGTCCCAAAATTCATGAGGGTTAGTCTCAACCCCCTAAATCCAAATCTAGTGGTTGTTTCATCAAAAATGTGCCAAAATCCATGAATCTCAATTGAAACGTTTCGACTTCTTCACTTTCACTCTTTGATTTGTAGACTTTGAAGCAAGTTTAGACAAAATGAAAGTCGGATTCAAACTCAGTGTTGAGACGAAGAGACTCATGAAATTTGAGATCGAATGGCCACCATCAATGGTGGCTGACGATAGCATCCGATCACCTTCTGTTTTTATTTTATAGTTGGATAAACAAAATAGAAAAGAGAGTAAAAGTTCATAGAGGAACATTATATTCATTGAGTATTTGAGTGTTTCTAAAGTGTTTTCAAACTTGTAGATTTTACAACGTAAAAATCTGTTCAAAGGCTTAATTTTTTTCAAGGACTTCGTTTTCTAAAAGATTTTAATATTAAATTCAATTGTCCCAGGAACTCGGGTGAATCTTTCCAAGTTTACCAAATAATAGATGAAACGAAAATTTTCACTTTTCTTACCAAACAAACACGCAAATATATGATTTTTTGAAGAACAAAAAGATGATACCTTTCCACTTTTCTAGTTTTCTCTATCTTCGATTTTCCATCCAGTCCTAGCACCAAGTAAAAGGCGAACGCTTGAGTTCCTGCGAGCATCCTCGAAGATCCCGACTCGAATGTCCTAAATTGTCACTTAGAAGCCAAGGCAAACAATGGTTTCATCAAACCACCACGTACAAAACTCAAATTTAGATTATCATATTTCAACGGTTAACAACCACTCGTCTTGTAGAACAGAACCTTTGTTTTCGACATTGCGAAAGAATTTGCTTAGCTACTTTGCCTCTGACGATATGCTAGAATCTGAAACAAAAACATCACTGAATGCTTAATTCGAGATTACCGCATATTGGCATGACCTCGAAGGATAAGCTACGAGGCACAAAGAGATGTCAAATACCAAGAAATGTACTCACCAAATTATTTATTCTGGAACTGTACTTGACCTTAAGCCCTGCCAAAGTTTCTTGACCTTCCAAGACTTGCAATGCATTGTCCGATAGGTTGGCGCAGTTGTAATCAGTATGGTATGGTCCTTTTACCATTAATATTTCTACTTCTTCAGCTCGCAATGGCGTCTGAAGAGCAATGTACTGCACACGAAACAATCACTGTGATTTTAAACAATCATCCTAAAAGTTTGTATTCAAAGCAAAAACAGAAGTTAAAATGGTCGATTTTATAAAGGTGGGGGACGATGCTAGACAGAGCAGAACCACATGAATCATCCTGCATAGGACAAGTTAGAAAATTGAAAATCAATGAGTTCATGCGTCGGAATTTTAGGTCAACCCCAAAACATAAATGTATCGGGTAAAGCAACCGAACCCCACGACCTATGTATTATACATATTCAACCAAATGTCAAGGCTCATCAAATTCGTCGTTTTCCTAATCCAACTTCAGCTTTAGAAAGAGACATTCTATGTTTAAGCTGGTGGGAAAGAAATCTCACTTCGTATAGCTGCTTAACTGACAGACTGGGCCGACAACAAAGGTAAGGTTGCTGCAAACTTGATGTACTGTGTTCATCCACCGAAATAAGCTGGAGATGAACATCCAACTGCATGCAAAGAATAGGCTTTACTTACATAAAAATGAGGACCTAAATACAAAAATGGGGAATAAAAGGGAAAATAACAAAAGAAAAAGGGGGCTGTGAGGTGGAAGAGAAATCCTACGGTATTACTCAAGTGGAACCTGTAAATTAGAAATCATATTAAATGAGTACCATCCTATCGTACCTCATCATCATTTTCCTCCAAGCTCCTAAGATGCTCTACCAATCTGTTTAAGCGAGCATGTGAACTCTTGCTACTGCCACTGGCCATATTTCCATGTCGAGTGTGACTCCGAGCACCACCTCTTCCCCAAGCAAGCATATCAGGGTGCCCAGGAGAAATTCCTCTGCCGTCTCTAAACACTTCTGTATCATTTTCAACATATCCACCATCTGAATTTACCACTGATGAAGGCAGGGACATCCGGATTCCAGTCCGTCTTTTGCGCCTTCTCTGCCTCACTTCAGTACAGCGCTCGTCTGCGGATGACTTTTTACCTTCATTATCATCATTTTCATCTTCGTTGTCTTCGGATCCTTGATGCTCAGCTCCTCGAGAGTTCCTTCGCCTACGAGGATGACTACTACGATGATGGCGTTGTGATCTAGTCATAAAGCCACCTGTGCTGCTTTCTTTACCAAGACTACGTCGCTTAACGAGTGCTTCTGATTGTCTCTGAAAAATTTGAGCAATTGATGCTTGAATCTGTACAAAATATAGAAACCACCATTGGTAAAAACAACAAAATGTGTCAATGTCTTGAACTTACAACATAGCCAAACGATATTCTTAGAACAGAGAACTGGAAAGAGAAAATAAAAAAAAGGTACCGAGCAATCATGTCCTTTCTAGCCATGTCAACATTTAGGACACTTTTTACCTCACATCTATGACATGAGAAATAGAGTTCTTCCACTTTGGCTATTCATTGCACCGAAGTCAACAAGACAAAAGGATAATGTTATAAATGGCACTGTAACATACATTTTATTTCACTGAGATATTTTTTTTAAAAGGTAGATTACCATTGTACTGCCTTTATTGTCTCAAAGCTTTACTTGAACTTAACATTGTAAATCAGAGATGTTGACAAGTCGCATGTTCTATTACCAAGTCACCAAGCCATATCATATTAAAATACTCAGAGGGCATTAATTTAAATATCTATAAAAACACAGAAAAAATGTAAAATGTCATCATATTACTTGATTACAGCCACAACATTTAACGGTATTAAGTTCCGGAACTAGAACATGAAACAGTACATATACCATAAATAGGTAATCACGTGAGTCATTCATGATATTATTCCAACGACAAATTGCAGAAATAACACTTGAATATGCACCTAATAATTGAATGAATGCATACATGTAACCATGAAAAGTGTCGGGCTGCATGTTTTTTTAGACAGGCAAATGAACACAAATCACCACAATTCACAAATATCTGCCAATCTAGAAAATAAGAAGTTGATCTTAACAATGAGCAAGTAGAGCAGAGAAATAAACCTGCTTATTGCGAGTTCGTTCCTCTTCATGAAAAGCCAATTCCTGAGGCCAAATGCAGAAAACCAGCTTTGATTAGCCAAATTATGGTGTAATAAATTTTATAATACCACCATGAATCAAAAAATAAAAATAAAAGAAGAGAAAGGAAAGAACTTATACCTCTTCTTCATACTTATCAATATCTTGATATAGAGCTGCAATTAAGGCATCATAGTTTGGATCATCTCTTAAAGAACGTCGACTAGCACAATGCGTACGGCAAGCAGGACACTCATTGTTCCTACAATCAGAATTAAGAAAATCCAGACATTTACAAAATCAACCCAAACAGAGGCAAGCTAGTAGCAAATCCAGTTATAACATACCCCAGTCGCATTGATTTGTCAATGCATTCTCTGCAAAAACGGTGTAGGCATTCCATTACAGTTCTTGTTTTCTTTATGATTCCTGTACGCAGAAAATATTAAATGCAAACAATAGCTGACAAAATGCAATGCACTAAAAAAATGAACTCAAGCAATAAACCAGAATTTTATTGGGTTCAAACGTCCTGCTAAGGTTTGTGAAGAGAAGCAGTAATTGGGAAGCTGATGCTTTAGCCAAGGAGGGAATAGGGTAATGGTTGCCATGTTAGAGGTCTATTTTAGAATTTTATTTGCAGTGTCAGTTTTATTACCTATAGGAAGGTGTAGGTATCTGAGAAAGGTTGTAATCTACGAGGTTCTACCTAGGATGTAAAGGTTGTAATCTACAGGTTTCTACCTAGGATGTAATCTATGTTTATATTAATAAAATTTTGGCACTCTTTTCCTCCTTCCAATGCCGTTAAAATACATTGTAGCTTAACGGTTATGAAGGGGGTTTTTAACGAGGCCTCTTACTTTCAAAAAAAAAAAATGCTGACCACAGACCAGCAATGCAAGAAAGATTCTAAGACTAACAAGTATGACATTTCCCTGACGCAATCAAACATAGCAAATGCTTTTTATACAGTATGTGTCTCCATGAAAAAGTAAAAGCCGCAAATTCCATTCAATGTGTGAATACAAATACTATAATATTACTCTGTTGTGGTTTTTCCTTCAGAGAAAATGATAATACATTTGTATAGATTTAACTAAATTCTGTTTTACGGACATACCTTCCCAGCTAGAAATTTTACATATCGTGTAGAGCTCCCAAATTGATTGGTGTTTTACAAACGCATGCTCAAATGATCTTAACTCCTGCGCCTTTTTAAAACAATACCTTCCTCCCAATTCGTTAAAAATAGTAGTAAAATTTAGATTTACATAACATCAAAACCCCTTTCTATTGATTTGTTTATCACTGGAGGTCTCGTTAAAAACCCCCTTCGTAATTGTCAGAAACCGAATAGGTTTCACGACAAAAAGCGAAAGGGTGAAAAGAGTACCTCAAGTTTCATTAATAGAGAGGTTGAAAAGAACCCCCAGAATTACAAACTAACACAGAGCACAATACAAACACATATCCATAAAAAGCTAAAAACAACCACAAACTATCCTAGAATTAACCAATCCCCTTTTTAGCTAACTCGTCCGCCACCCAATTTGCACTTCTTTTAACAAACCGAATAATGATCTCATCTCTTCTAATCACAGAAACAATTTCCTTAACAAAGGACTCACGGTCTACTGATCAAATGAGAATGATCTGAATATTTAGCTATCACATAATTAACAATCTTTGATTATCCTTTTTCCTATCTTCTCGACGTTAGATCTTTCAAGGAGCATCCAGATATACAAACTCCCCTTGGTTTTCTATATCATTTATGGGTCCTAGTGCACTCATAAGTTTTTATTTAACTTGTGAATTTATACTAAATCTTCTAACACCATTAAGCACCAGGTGAAAATAGCTTTCCAACTCAAGCAATTGCCAGGACAAACTAAAATGAATGTTGCACCAAATGGAGTATCCAGGAAATAAATTCTTAGAAAAGGGAATGGCAGGATCTACCAAATCAAACGAAACGAATCATGCTTAGATAGTCGGCTATGTAAAATTAAACTTTATACTCAATTATAAAACACACATATTAACAAGTCATTTGCGCTGACAATTCATTCTCTATCAAACAAACCTCATCATAACTTCAGCACAAACTAGAAAGAGGGAGACAACATTTAATTTGTACAAAAATCAACTAAAGAAGATATCACCTTCAGATAATAAGGCTAAAACTGCAATTGGAAAATTTTCTACATAATCTTAAAACATTCAAGGAAGAAACCACTATGTTCTACTTAAACGTCAGGTAAAATATAAGTCATACTTTATCAAATAATAGTACAATATGTGCATTAAACAGTAAAAACATGGCACTTGATTTTCCTCTTGTAATGGTTTATGTTTCCAAAGAAAATAAAATTAATCAACAAGATATATTCATAATGCAAATGGGAAAGTGATGGTTTTGACCTCCAGAGAGCATGTAAACAAACAGGAATTGTGCTTAAAAATATATTACAACCACTGATTCATATGTCTAAACTCCTAATCACAGACGTTCAACAGAAATTGTAGGAGCAAAGTATAAAATAGTAGCAAATTGAAGTATTACCTAAACAAATTGGACATTGAACATCTTTACGAATTTCTGGTAGCTCTACGAACACAAATCTGGAATTTGAACATAAAAATGTTAATAGAACTTTCTATCATGTCATTTATAGATTAAAGCTACATTATAAACAGGATGCGTGAAGATCCCAGAAAGCATGTTGTAAAAAGATAGATCTGTTGTTGTCATCAATGTAAGTATATGACTTAGCATGAGATGATTTTGAAGAGACTACCAACTTTAAAGGGTAATCCAAATCTTTTCAAGTAATCATACGGTGGAACTTAACTAATACTTTGCTATCATATACAGTATACCAACTTTTCAAGCGTGAAGATCACAACAGAATGTGTCACCTAATACTTTGCTATCATATACGGTATACCAAGAATGACTGAAGAAAAAAAATTTATGCTGTTATTTTTAGCAAATCTAGCAATATATACTTGTCTGTGTGTGTGCTGGGAGAGAAATAGAACGAAGCCCAAACCAACTCAGCATGAGAATCCTCACATGTTCTATATTAGAATCATCACCCAAATCTTATGGTTTATTAATGAGACTACACTGTCTTCCACAATAACAGACACCATGATCGATAGTTCCCATTTCTCAACCATTATTTCCTTTCAATGCTAGAATAGACAATGAAAAGCTGCACTTTTTAAACCTCATTAGACTATCTCGGCTCTTACTTTCATTCTTGTTCACATACCCGTCAGCTCCAAATTGCATTTTCCAAAGATCAAACTCTTTGAAGAAAGAAAAGTTCAAAAGCCTAGGCAGAGGCACTTCCCTAGTCTCAATACATAGATTCTTTGACCGAAAGCTTAACCAAGCTAGCCTAGTGGCACTGACTCGTTAAGGTTTTATTAGAACGTCTAGAGTTGAACCCAGATGCATAATGGGATTCAGAAAAACGCAAAATGGGGAAGAAAAACAACCCAGAATCAAAATAAAATGCATTTATAAATATAAATTATCCACATTTTGAACAGTGAAAGAATACAGTAGGACGTGTTTACAAGCTAGTATTTTACACGTTGGTAACGAGTATGCAAAGTGTTGTCCTTAACAAACAAGGACCCGGGACAGATAAAGAATACATTATGAACAAAGTTCACAATTTTTCCAGCCGTATGTGGTTACGAGCATTTACAGGACACAGATCGTTGACGTGCAAAATGCGTATCGATTAACCGATGAGTTAACATATCACAAAACTCAATGCCATATAACGAATAGCACACAACCCAACAAATATAACTCAAATTCCTTTCTCTTCAGCAGCTAAACATCCAAAAGAAAGAAGAATGTTCGTCGTAAAGAAATAAAATCGCAGCAAACCCAACTCGTAAAAGCAGAGCGAGAGCTCAATATGAAGCTAAAATGAATTTTAATAAATCACTGAAGAAAAGAACATATGTGATTGACATATAAAGAGAGGGAAAACAGTACTCGGGTTTCTCTTGAGAAGTAGAAGATTGTCTCCCATCAGAATCTGAGAACAACAAAAAAAAGAGCCCAAGAATCAAAATCAACTTCAAACATGTGTTTACACCTGTTCATCGAGCTATATACGAGAAACAAGAGTGCAAAAAAAAGAGAAAAGGACGTCACCATCTTCGTCGTCTTCTTCATCATCGTCGTCTTCATCTTCGTCGTCGGTTTGGAGTTGTTGAGTTTGGTGGTTCTGGTCATCGGGGTCTTGTTTCTGGTGCTGCTTTTCTTGCTCCGGCTCGGGGTGTTGTTCTTCCACTTGGGTCGTGTCGCCTTGAGCTTCGTGTTGGCCATCTTCGTTCCGAGATTGCTTGGTGTGGCTTTGGTGATGGAGGCTGGACTCTTCATCGTCGAGATTCTCCAGAAACGGCCGCTTCTGGGCGGGCATTGATGCGTTTTGGTCCGTCGATTATGAGACTCCTTTATTCTAACAGAGACAGAGACACCCAGCCGAAGAGGGAGGACGACGACCAGGAGATTGCTCACTTCTTTTTCCTTTTTTCCTGTATGGAGAGGTTTATTTCTTTTTCTCCTTTGAGTAAACTACGCTTAAGGTCCTTAAACTATGCTCAAACTATATTTCTCATCACTCAAATTTATAAAATAATTATTAAATCTATTAAATTATTATAAAATAGACAAAACAATGTCAGATGTCTCTGTACTTTTAAAATAATAAATGTGACTTTCATTTTTTTTTCAATGTAACCCTTCAACTCATAAAATAAGTCTAATGTGATCTTTTGACCAATTTTTTTCGTCATTGTCTGTTACGGTGCTAATGTGACAATTAACAGTGTTAACATGGCAATTCACAGTGTTGATGTGGTAGTTTGTGGTGGTTGATAACGTGACGGATAACATAATAGATATGTTAAATTGGTAATTTAAACATGATAGATGGATTGTCACATCAATACCGTGAACGTTACATTAACGCCATGAACTACTATGTTAGCATCATAATGGTCAAATGAAAAAAAAAAGTTGATCAAAAGCCACATTTAATTTATTTTTCGAGTTGGAGGACCACATTGAAAGAAAAATACTACGAGTGTGACATTGATTTTTTCAAAAGTACATCGATCTCAAATGTATTTTTACCTATAAAATATTATAATATCATTTTAAGATGATTATAAAATTCGTTAACTTATTATAAAATTATCACTAAATTTTATTAAATTATTAAAAATGATCCTTAAATTTATCAAATTATAGTAAAATAATCATTATATTTATCAAACTATTATAAAATAATCATGAAATTTATCAAACTTTATATTCGTGAAAAAAACATGATGATTATTTTATAATTATTTGATGAACTTAATGATTATTTTGTAATTTTTTAAAATCGAGTGGTCAAAAATATTATATAAGGTATTTTAAAGACCTCTAACGTACTTTACGCTTTTTCTTATTACTCTATTTTTTTTGCTCTCTAATAATGTTTATATTTTAATAAATGAATTCATTAAGAAGGGATCAGATTCATCAGCTGTTGAATGAGCACTTGTTGGTTCGGTGGGCGGCTTCCTGTGCCCAACTGGCTATTTTAGTCATTTTGTTTTTATTTTCCACCTTTTGTTTTAATAATTATTGAAATTATACAAACTTAGGGTTAAGTAGTATTTAATCGATTGGTAAAGAACGTAAATGATTTCGACTATAAAATATTATTTTATTAAGTCAATCCACTATTAAATATTATAAAATAATTTTTTGATTATGGAGTGTTGCTTTTTTTAGTCCTTCCACTATTAAAAATTACGAAATTATCACCCGATTATTCATTATGTTATAGACTCATCATTTTCTGTTAAAAAATTAGCTTTTGTTTAAGCTGGATATTGACATGAGATATGATAGTCGTTTGGGCTTTTGGGATCAAAGTTTATCATAAACAAGTTAATGTTCAGCTCAGAATATCATCCATTTTGAATGGAAAAGACGAGTTTGGAACATAATAAATAGTCACGAGACTATTTTGTGTCGAAAGACTCAACAAAGCAACAATCTATTGTCGAATGACCATTTTGTAACTTTTAATAATTGAGGAACGTAATAAAACAATATCCTATAGTCGGAAGACAATTTGCATTATTTATCCTTAATCAATATTATATATAAATCGGAAGTTAATTTAGTCTTATTTCGAGTTATCCTATTATTGTGACAAGTTATAAATTAATTAGGGTTTTCATATTTAAATTCACGAGTCTTACATATATTTTAATCATTTTATTTTTATAATTTGTAGGATTATTACATAAAGATTCATGTGTAAGAGGGTTTTTAGAGTTTTTAGTTATATAGAGTAGCAATACCAAGTATCGATATTTTATTAGGAGTATCGATATTCATAATGTGTATTGACATTAAAATGATATATTAAAAATTTTCAGTTAATTTATTTTTATATCCATGTAAATTTAATATTGATGACATAGAAACGAGTATTTGTGATATATGAATAAGCATTGATACTCCCTTCAAACAAATTTTACTTACACCAATGTAAATACAATATCGATACTGCATGAATAAGTATCTGTATTTTCTATAAAATATTTGTATTTATGTTAATATAAATACAATGTCGATATTGTATATATAAGAGTCGATATTCATTTCAAAGAAAACTCATAAATGGACATAAAAATAATTTAAACTTACTCCAAACATCATATTTAAGGCTCCAAGTAAAAAAAGTCCTTAAATTATGTATTTTTCGCTTTAAATCCTTAAAAACTATATGTATTCATTCTAAATCTTATCGGTTTTTTCAATCATAGAAAACATCTCGATCGATAAGATGTTGACATGTTGCACAAAATTTGATGTATATTTTGACCCAAAAAATAATATAGGTAATAATATTTTATATACTTATTTCGATAAAAAAAATTATGTACTTAAAATAGTTAAGTCTAATAGTTTAAAAACTTATTTCGATAAAAATTATGCACTTAACTTCTCATATATTTATTTTAATTCTCTCAATAAATCTTGTTCCCACCATTAATCACCATTTTATCGTTGCAAGATTATTTTTGAAAGCTCTCTTGATGAAATGTTGATTTTTATCTTCTGATAGACACGAAAGACGATTCCTTTACTTGAAGTCCCAAACTTTAAAATGAAGAAGAAAATAAAAGAAAGAAGGGAAAATTGAATCAAGGGGAAAGAAGAAGAAGATAATATTTAGCTCATATCCTTTAAATATAAAAAAAGATCATTTAAGCATAATTTAGCCACTTTTTATGTACTTTACCCACATTATTTTGGGTAAAATTCGTATTTAGTGTGTAAACTATCAGTTTTGGCCGTTTTAGTATGTAAACTTTTAATTTTTTTCAAAAATCATACCTAACGTTTAGTTGTTGTTTCATTTTAATACCCTTGTTCAAAATTTAACGTTAAATTTTGAATTTTTTTTGAAATTTTGGGTACTAAAATTGATAGTTTAAGTACTAAACAAGTTAAATTACTAACGGTGGGTGCTAAAAGGAAACAAAAAAACTAAGCATTATGTATGGTTTTGAAAAAAATTGAAACTTTAGGTACTGAAACATCCAAATCTGATAGTTTAGAAACTAAATACGTAATTTACCATATTATTTTTGGGGCTTGGTTCGGGTTCAGAAATCCCCCCCCCCCCCCAACAACTACTACCAACCTGAAACAAACCTGAACGAGAAGAGCGCAGTAGAGACCACTGGCCAATGCCTCAGTGCCAATGGTGCCACAAGCACAATTCAGAGCTCTATGGGAGGTCAAATCCGTCATTACAATGAAGATTCAAAACCCTAATCCTATATTCCGACATATAAATTGGCTAGCCTCTCTCATCTCTCAACTCCGTCGGCCGCTCAGGTTGCTTTCTCCCTTGGATCTTTCTTACCTGTTGTTTGGTTGCTTAGAAATTGAGTGAAAATGGCCACCCAAAATTAGTTTGCTGTTTTAATTTGTTAATTCGGTTTGCAGTGTAGTTCAAGTTTGCTCTGTTTTGTTGTTCTTTTCATCGTTTCATTAGTAGTTGCCAAAAGAACTGAATTTTACCGTGTTTTGATAATTATGTATGCCTGTGTTTTAGTTTGAAGAAATGATGATTAGATTGTTAGTTTAATACTTGTTGTTCAATGCAGATCTGTTATATATTCCACCAAGTTCATATTAGTGTACGGAAATATGTGGTAAATCTTAAAATTTTGCTTTCAACATCAGGATGATCCAGTGTTGATGTAGTTCTGGGTTTTCCCTTCTTTTCGTCCCTTTAGTCTCAAAATTTTCCCTTTGAGGCTTGATTGTGTGTTTCGTATTAGACTAAAAGCCCATGATGGATTGGCCTCGCCATACTAATTTTGTCATTTTTTTTTTACTTTTCTGCCCCCTAATTCTGTTTAATTACAGGTCACTATCTTGAGTTGTAAGTATGGCAGATGGATCGAAGCGTCCATCAGTGTTTCAAAAAGTGCGTGGGCAGTCCTATTTAATTTCCAGACTTTCTCCTAACTTGACTGCCAGTAATTATAATGTGTCTGGTGCGTATGTCAATGGAGAATTCATGTTGCTTTACAGCAATCACGCCACTCCACTAGGTTGGCATATGTGTCCCCTGTTTCTCCCATATTTGTACAAGCTCCGGCCCAGAAAGGTTTTACCGGTTTTATGGTGGATTTCCTCATGGGAGGAGTTTCTGCAGCTGTTTCCAAGACAGCAGCTGCTCCAATCGAACGTGTTAAACTTCTAATCCAAAACCAGGATGAAATGATCAAATCCGGCCGGTTGTCTGAACCATACAAGGGAATTACTGACTGCTTTGCCAGGACTATGAAGGATGACGGTGTCCTTTCTCTCCGGAGAGGCAACACTGCTAATGTTCTTAGATATTTCCCCACCCAGGTTGCTTTTTACATCCTGTATTTTTAAGTGCACTCTACTACTTTTCTGCCATCCTTTTTTAAAGTGGATTTGCATTTTCGATTTGTTTACTAACCAAGTTTGTCTTTTATATCCCTTGGCTATCCGATACGTAACTTATCTTTCGTTTTGTTCTGTTTTCCTCATTTTATGTCCACTTAAAGCTTTAACTCAGTTATATGTGTCAGGCTTTGAACTTTGCCTTCAAGGATTATTTCAAGAGGATGTTCAACTTCAAGAAGGACAAAGATGGCTACTGGAAATGGTTTGCCGGGAACTTGGCATCTGGTGGTGCTGCTGGTGCTTCATCCCTTCTTTTTGTTTACTCCCTGGATTATGCTCGTACACGTTTGGCTAATGATAACAAGGCTGCTAAAAAGGGAGGTCAGAGGCAGTTTAATGGTTTAGTTGATGTCTACACGAAGACCATCCAATCTGATGGTATTGCTGGTCTTTACCGTGGATTCAATATCTCATGTGTTGGGATCATTGTCTATCGTGGGCTCTACTTTGGTATGTACGATTCTCTGAAGCCCGTTGTTTTGGTTGGTGGATTGCAGGTTTGTATCTGTTTCCTTGCGCTCACAACCATTCGAGTAAACAGTAATATAACCTGGAGTTTAACAGCTGAAACATACCTGATTCTGTGTGCATTCGGTATTTACAGGATAGTTTCTTGGCAAGTTTCTTGCTGGGTTGGGGTATCACGATAGGTGCGGGACTGGCATCTTATCCAATTGATACGGTCCGTAGAAGAATGATGATGACCTCAGGAGAAGCAGTTAAGTACAAGAGCTCGTTGGATGCATTCTCCCATATCATCAAGAATGAAGGTACGAAATCGCTGTTCAAGGGTGCTGGTGCAAATATTCTCCGTGCCGTCGCAGGTGCTGGTGTGCTTGCTGGCTATGACAAGCTGCAACTCATCTTCCTTGGCAAGAAATATGGATCTGGCGGTGGAGGCTAATATTACCATCACATAACGGTGGAAGGTGATACACTGCTGCTGCCTTGACGAAAGATTTAGGATCCCGAATTCGAATAATTTTGGAAGGGCATACTATTGCTATAGATAGTTCCAGTAATTAGGGATTGAATGTGAAAAAGTTGGTGACGAAAAAATTACATTAGCTTTGAGTGTTGAATGTGTTAGTTTCAAGACCATGTGTTTTGTTGGTACTACTTGTTTTTTGGTTGAGAACAATTAAAGAGTGCTTTCTTTTAAATACCAAGTGTTCTTGTTCAACTTCCTCGTCCCTGCCATTGGACCAGACAACACCAAGACATCCAAGCACAGTCAGTCTTCCGAGCTTGATCATCGGTGACAGTAATAGATCTGTGGAATACGAAACATTTTTCGATGAAACAGATATTAAATCGTTTAAAAGATCTGAAGGGACTGAATTGAAAATTTTGGCATAGACTAACAACGTATGTAACAGCTGATATGAATTATGCTGATAGTCTGATACTCTGATAGTAATAACAAATAGACTTTTACAATGACTTTGCACTTTAATGTTATTTTAAAAATTATTAGTTGGCATCATGATTAAATCCTTATATTAAATAAATACAATATTGAAACAATGTAAAGGTGAACAAGAAACGTTTAGTATACTTAAGAAATTAATTTTTGGGTAAAAACAAACAAACAAAAGTTTAGGGTTTAAAGTTCAAAAATCTATTTTTAAAAAGGGTCAATTTGAATTATTGATAATTCAAAGGATCAAAAGGCGGACGCAGAAATTTAATCCAAGGGTGCGAAGTTATAAACTCGTTTAGAAAAGCCATAATAGTATAATTATAATAGTGTGATTACTCACAACAAAGAGATGATCAAAACTTAAAGTGATATATTTTTCTTAGTTTACTCCAACAAAATTATTATGTTTCTCGTTCTCGTTCACCACACAACTTCAACAGCGGTGTAATGCATGGCGGGCAAATTCTGCCTCAGATCAAAGGTTAACAACGAAGCTTTCGGCTTCTGTGGCCGACTCCCGACCGGCAACGGTGCCGGCGTCGTTCTCTCGTATGTTCCGAGCCACTTGGCTTGCATGTACTTGTGCTTCCTCCATGGAGCCAAGTGCATCTTCTTCTCTTTCATGCAGGTCTTGGCTGCCACACATAATATCTTGATTACTGCTTTCAGCCTCTCTGTTTTGCCGACGAACAGTTCCGATAACATAGCGATTAACTTGTTGTAATCGTCGTTGGCCCTCGCCATTTCGAATTCGGCTCGGAAATTCAACTCGATCACAACTCTTACATCACCTTTTTTCGGATCCGATTGGTCCAGCACTTCTAGATACGTGTGCTCCCCGGGTGGAATTTCAGGGGAGCTCTTCCACTTGGACTTGCATATGTAACAATTGAAGCCTAAGCTTTGGAGACGATCCGAGAGTTCCCTTTGCATACATTTCCGGCAATCCCCGACCACCGGTCTCCGACAGGCGCATTGTACTCCGACCGTGTGTAGGTCCCTCAATGCTTCTTTCGTAGCTCGGCGAATTCTTAATTCTATAGTAGTAGTTCGGAACAACGTCGCCTATATCAACATTTATGACAAAAAAACCGTTGATCACTTGATCTTTAAATCCTCAAGTCTATGTTTTCTTTTTTCGTGTGTTTAATTTTAATTATTGGGCAGCGTTTACCTGAAGAAGCTGTTCTTGGGTTTCCCAGAAAACCCTCCTCTGTTCAATCTGGGCTTCGTCCTCATCGTCGCCGCCGACGAAGTCATCCAAATTTTGTTCGTCGGAACCATTGCTTCCGTCCATAAACCCAAACATCAAATCGGCAAAACTCCCCGCTCCGTCGAAAAACTCGTCGATTTCATCGGAATCCCGGCGTGTCACGGGGACCTTTTCCATTTCTCCGGCCACCGGAAATTATCCGTTGCTTCGGTATTTTGCAGAATTATTTTTGGGTTCCCCAAAACGGGGACCAAATTTATAGCAAAAGATACTTTCAAACAAAGACAAAAGTTATAACAGAAGTGTGTTGGGTCCAACTGTCCCACGTGGACGAACGAATCGCCGCGGCCATGCAAAGGTGGGGCCAATGCTCACGTGTCCAGTGATTAATGGTTGCTGATTCAGATCAAACGAACAATGATACGAGTTGAAGACCGAGGAAGCATTATGGATATGCTTTGAAAATAATAATATTCCAATATTAGCTTTAAGTTTTTTTAATTGTTGAAACTGATCATTGTTTGTTAAATAATAACTTAACATTTTCTAGTTTGTTCAGATAAAGATTCATTGCGTTCTAATATGATCAAATGAGAGCTCTGATTTGAAAATATTTTCAAAATGATATGCCTTTGTTTGAACGTATTTGAAAATGTCAGACCCTCATTCAAGTCCTTTGAAAAGGCAGGCCCCTATTTGAGTAGATACAAAAATGTTATATCCTTATTTAACTATTTTTGAAAGATTAGACCCTTATTTGAAACCCCCTAAAAGTCGATAGCCACCACGTTTTTTGTGTGGCAACTTTGCTCTAAAGTTATATGAAGAGGGAAAAAATCTCCAAAATATCATAATGTTCTAAACTTTTGAATATTTTAATTTTATCATCAAACTATGATATTTATTTTAAATTAGTTCTTAAATTTTTGAGTATTTTAATTTCATCCTCAAAATATGATCTGCATTTTAAATTGATCCCCAAACTTTAAATCTTTCAATTTCATCCTCAAATTCATCCAAATATATAATTAATTTTAACCATAGTTTAACCTAAATTTTATTTTTTCCAAACATATAATAATATACGTTGGCCTAACGAGTTATTAACATGGAATGCTATTAGCATATAAATAAAATTTGGGATGAAATTAGAATGTTGAAAAATTTTAGGGATTGATTTAGAATGAAAGATATAGTTTGGGGATAAAACTAAAATGTTCAAAAGTTTAAGGACACTTTTAGAATGATATTCATAATTAAAGGATAAAATTAAAAACATTTAAAAGTTTAAGAACTGATTTGAAAAGAGAACCATAATTTAAAGACGTACAATGCAGTTAATTCTTATTATAAATAAAAGTTTAATCACTCTTAAGAAAATTAGTTCACGAGGATAAGTATGACTTGTCACTTAATGTCAAGTTGAATGAAGAAATAAAGGGGGGAGGGGAGATGTCATTAATTTATTATTAATTATAGGTAGAAGGGAAATGATCATCCAGCTCAGTTGGTAGAGCATAAGATTTTTAATCTTGAGGTCGTGGGATCGAGTCTCATGGAGGACATTTCATAATTCGGAGGTCTCCTACGGAAACTGTTCTCAACCTAGTGTTGAGGGTAGCGTACTATCTTACCTCCCCTTACCCCATTACATATGAGAACAAAGGACAATCATTTTTAATTATAAGTTGAAGGATGTGATATTTAAATTAATTAAAACTCAACAATCCACCTCGGATGACATTGAAGGACACTGTAAACCCACGTTTGTTTTTAAAAACTTTAAAAATCATTGTACCAAAATGCAGTGATTGGTAATTTATATTCACCATTTTCATTATGTCGGAGGAGAATATCTACTGAATACAAGGATGTAAATAAATATAGCTCGAATGAATAAGGTTATATTTATGCTCATTTCTTCTTTATTTTTAAAGTGTTCGTGTTTGGTTTGTATTCGTTTATTTATTTTTTAAAGGTGTTCGTCTTCATTTTTTTATTGTTTACGAGCATGTTCGTTTAATGTTCGCGAATGTGCTCGTTTATATGTTCATAACTTGTTCGTTTATATTTTTAATTTTTAGTTTTACCTTTTCAAGCTAAAGAAAAATGATAAAATTATGTCACTACTGCTTAATCTCTTTAAAATTCATAGTTTAAATTTTAATTTTTATCATGTGTTCAATTTAGTCACTGTCTTCATCGATATTTAAAATGTCAAAAAAATAGGAAAATAAAAATCGGGTAGACGAGTTTATTCATAAACATAAACAAATAAAACACACATTTGTTCGTATTCGTTCGTTTATTAAATGAACATAAAAAAATTGTTCATATTCATTTATTTAACTTAATAAACGTAAATAAATGAACGTTATACGAACCGTTGACAAATTGTTTATCAATGTTGTGTTCATTTACACTCTTAACAATGTGAACGAAAGCATACTTTCATTTAAGAATAAAGGGTCATTTTTAGTGAAAAATAATAAAAAATCAATGATGTTTATTTCCTCATATTTATAACTTCTGAATTAAAATGGTTCGCTTTCACATAGATGAAACCAGGGCTTAATAGTAAAATAACATTTTGGCCCCTAAAGTTTTAAAAACCTTTAATTCAGTCCTTCAAAAATCTTAAGCTTAATGTCAATACAATGACAAAATCATACCCTAACCCCATGAAAATTTAAATTCAAATTCGTCCTAATTTTTTCCTTCTGATTCCAGCATACAAACATCAAATGTGACAGGTCTATCTTATAAAAATATAGAAACTCGTGTTTAATTTATATATAATTCTCAATATATATATTGGAAAGTAATTGTCAAATTCGAAGAGAAATTTTCTAATGATTTATTTGTGAAATGATGTCCAACTCAGGATTGCAGGTGGCATTTGCTTATTGTAGAGAATTAGTAAAGTATTAATCAACAAATGAGAATAGCCCAATGAGGCTAATTTGGATAAGATTCTACTTCATGGGACCAAATAATTTGCAATATTCACTTCTCCCCCTCGGAAATAAATAAATTATTTTTCATAACGATTAGTATTCAATTCATCGATAAGATATTAAAAGTTTATTATAAAAAAGGGTAAAATACACAAATGGTCAACGACTTTTATTGAGTCCATCAACTATTGAAAGTTATAAAATAGTCATTCGGGTATTCATTATATTCAGGGCGAATACACTAAGCCCCGTAGCGGGCCAAGTGCATCCCCATTATTTTGGAAAAAAGATAAAAATTTAGTTTAATACATTAAGGGAAAAAATAAAAATTTTGCATACCCATTATTTGTAAGAAAATAATATTAAAATTTTGGATCATCGTTCTTAAATTTATGGATCCGTCACTGATTGTATTTCAAAGCCATCTCTTTTGTTAAAAAATTAACGACACTCTGAACTGGATATTAATATGTTTTATGATAGTGGTTACGCATTACCATACCTAAACCTAAACAAATCATAAAATATCTTCTTATGAATTTATAATATCAAATTATCATTACCATCCCTAAACCTAAACAATTTCACTGATTGGTGCATACGTAGATGATGGCAGGCATGGGTAATTATCAGTAATCCACCACTTTATCAGTGGTTGGGAACACCATGGAGGAGTAATTTGCAGATCCCACTCCATGAAAAAAGTAATATAATTTTCCTTTTCTTTTCTTCACTTTCTTTGTTTTCTTTAATAGTTCTTTTCTCATGTTTGAAGGCAATGGATAGGCTAAAACCAAAGCAGATGAATCCAAAATAGCAGTTGTGTGACAATGGGAAAAGGTTGATGATGATGGTGAAGACGATGAAACATTTAGTTTGTATTTGTTAATATATATATACACACACATACATATATATCTTACAATGGGAAAACATCTTTGAAAAATTAAACTCGATGTAAATGAAGAAGCACGAACCAAGAAACCTCGATAGTAAATGAATTGTTATTATTTTTTGAGGTTCAAGATTCGAACATCAGGAATGTCATAGGGGTGGGTTTAATGTTTGTAATTTGCAGAGGGTTTGGTAGGGTTATGAAGTGATAACCCAGAGTTTGAGGCTTTGAGCGTGAAATGGATATTGAGGTTACCATGTACCCATCAAGCTTGATCATTTGTAGTGATAACAAACAAAGTACTATCAAATGGATATTGAGGTTACCATGTACCCCATCATGCATCCATGTTCTTGTTCGGACCAATCGTTAAGTCGAATCATTGATTTTATTTAGGGTAAACTACAGAGTTGGACACTTTTGTTTCAATTTTTAAACATATGGTCACTAGATTCAAAAAAATATAGTTCGTAGTAACTTTTGTTTTGTTTTAATTAAGATGTGGTCGCCGAAACGTTGACTTTCGTTAGTTTGATGATGTGTCACGTTAATAAAAGGGTTTAATTTTTTATTTTAACCCCTGAATTTTATATAAAATATTAATTAGAGACCATTTTATAAATTCAAAGTCATTAGGGGCAACGTTATAATTTATCCCTTTTTTTATATGTTTTCTTCCCCAACCCCATCTTCTTGCGCCGCACACCTACCTCTTCTCTACTGCCGTGACTCTCGCAGACCTAAACCCACGCCGTCGGCCACCGTTCATCAGTGATCACTATTCCAAATGCCACCGTCAGCAAACGAAGAAGTCCAAACCCCTGTCAATCGGAGATGAACAAACTGTTTCACAAGCTTTGAAAACAATTGTCCTTTTCAATTCCCAGCCTCTTAAGCATGTAATCTGCAAATGCCATTCATGTAAAATTTAGACAGCAATGGAATATTGACAGCGTACAATTAAATAAGTACAATGCAAATGCTCGCCTTTGATATTTTTCCCACATTCTCTTTCAAGAAAGATGGTTATCAGATCCTTCTCGGGCATTAATTCATATATTAACATGTTATTGTCGAGTGCATCAAACAGAAGACAGTTATATTTAGGAATCTGGGTTAGCTTTTATTGGTTTTCATATTCCATTTTCACCAGGCAGCTTGATGAAGGAACCTTTAATCATTACATGAAATGAAGTTAATATTGATGAAAGACTTCCATAAACAAAACCCAGAAAGCAGAGAAGTTTCTTTGAATAAAGAAAATGCAAAAAAAGTTTAAGCAAAACTGCAATGAAATAATAACTTACAGGTTTGGAAAAAAAGCTAGAAGAGATGATCAAAGGAGTCTCAGAGAATGCTAAGAGACAGGTAGGAAAGACACCGTAATATTGTAGCCGGTGAAAGTGACGTCGATCATGACACCAGGAGAGGTCATTAGACCGAACCACCTATCAATGAAAACAAAGACCGTACAAAAATAAACAAAAGCGATGGAGGAAACGGCAACCGTTACGGGCAAGGTAAAGATGAAGCCTCCGTTCATGGTTTTAAGTGTCTCCGATTGACAATGGTTTGGACTTCTGCATTCGCTGAAGGTGGCGTTCGGAGTAGTGACCACTGACGAACGGTGACCATTGACAAACGGTGGCCGGCGACATGGGTTTTAGGCCTGCGAGGGCTACGGCTGTAGAGAAGAGGGAGGTGTACGGCGCCGAAGATGCGGTTGGGGAATAAAACATATAAAAAAAATGATAAATTAGAACTTTGTCTCAAAATTACTTGGAATTTACAAAATGATTCTTAATTTGTAGTTTATCTAAAGTTCAAAGGTTAAAGTAAAAAATTAAACCCTTTTACTAAAGCGTCACATCGTCAAACTAAGGAAAGTTACCATTTAGTGACCACATCTTAATTAACTAAACAAAAAAAAAAAAACTACGAATTATACTCTTTAAATCTAGTGATCATACGTTTAAAAGATTGAAACAAAATTGACAAACTATGTAGTTTACCCTTATATTTAATAAATGTTACATTCATAGTCAATGCTACTAGAACAAAGTTAAAGCCAAAGGAGGATCGAAGGCCAACACAGTCGGTCATTGTAGTAACACAATAAAAATGACAATCAGAATATCACAATTAGATGCCTAATCAAGTACAGAAATCGAGTCAGCTGATACCCTCATTTTGACCTCCATGAATCCTTGTACTTTCTTCATCAGGAGCTTCACTGCCTCCTGTTATCCGGGCAAGGGAACTGTCATCCACGTTTCCGTCCACAATAGTCCTTACTAATCTATCATAAACATCAATGGACAAATGGCCTTTGACATTAAGTAACTTCAACAGCTCTTTTGCCGCTTCTAAGTTATTAGTCCCTTCCAAAAATTTGAGACAGGCAGCCAAAGTACCAGTGTTGGGTTTCCATCCCAAACTGCTAGACGATATTGCAGCCCTCAAGGTTTCCACTGCCTTAGCCATCTGGCCGTCCATTTGATATCCAGTTGCCAGACTATTTAATATAAACGCATCAGGCTCTTTAATGTCACCTCTTTCTATCAGTCTCTTCGTATATGCTTCAGCCTTCTCAACGAAACCCTTTCTGCAATAGGCACTGATCATCACATTTGGAATCCTAGCATCAAAAAATGAGTATCCAGACTCCCACTCTGCCAAAACCCTCTCAGCACCATCCAAATCATCCAACTTCACCAACGAGCTTATCATACATAAATAGCCGGAGTTAAAGAATTTCCCCAAGTTTCCATACAACCTCCATGTACGATATACGTCATCTTTCCTCCGTAGATTGGTATATACTGTGAGGAACACTTCATAAGCATGCTTTCTTGATCCCTGAGGAACTAGTTGCTCTGCTCTACGCAACATTTGTAAAGCCTTTTCAGTTAACTTGGCTTTCAAGTAAGCATTTGATGAAATAACATAAGCATGCCAATCCAGGGTGATTTCAACATCATTCTCTATCCTAGTCAGGAATTTCTCCATCCCCTCGATATCGGAAGACGATACATAAGCATTCAGCCGAATACTGTTCGTGAACGCATCATGCTTAATTCCTTTATCTGTCATCTCTTGCATAAGGACATCTAACATGTCGTGTTTTCCTAGGCGATGGTAGAGATTCAACATTACATTATAGGACACCGCATTGGCTGGAAGCCCCGATTCCCTCATAATTTGCATGGTAGCCTCTGCTTTTTCTAGACAATTATTGTTCGCATAGCAATTTAAAAGGGCACCATATACCTGGAAATTCCTCATTGCCTCAGGAAGACTGTTGAAATATTTCTCAGCTTGATCCACGCCGTGCACTTTTGAGATCAAATCCAACCTTACAGCCGTATCCCCAACGGAAATATTATATTTCATTTCTTCGCCCATATACTCTGATACCTGCCAAAGTACCATTTTTTAAGATTCAGGGGGCTCACATAAAAATGGGGCAATCATAGAATACTTGAGGCAAGACATTTTTAAGGGGAAAATGGGTTCTCATTGATTCTTGTCGCGTATTAGTGTACCTCAAGGGCGTGCTTGTAGCGTCGAAACCTGCGGAGCTGTCGGATTATAATTTGGAGCATGGATTGCTTCATGGGTTTGCCTTCTTCAAGCCACTGGTTGAGCACCGGGACGATGGAGGCTTTGGGATCGCCGGAACGAGAGACGCGAATGGGCAGAGTGTCGGGTGGCTTCGAAGGGGAGGCGCTGGGGCGGCTGAGGGTCTTCGTGGAGTACGCCACAACTCTCAGCAACCTAGAAATGGGAGAATTTGTCCATGGATTTGATCCAATACGAAGCTTCATCGGTAAATTGAAGAAAAGGCTGATTTAGTCAGATTAGGGTTTTAAGGGGCAATGATCGTTAAAATTAGGGTTTATGAAGAGTGAAAACCCGAGGGTTCTAGTGTGGATCTGACGGGTCTCTCTCTGCCGAGTGGCTGGTTCTTGTTACGGGGTATATCCTACGAATAAAGTAACATTTGATCCATTTGATAATTTCTTTCTTCAATTTGATCCCCTTATCCCCATTACTACTAAAATTTATATATTTTTAATTTGGTTCTTAAGTTTGCATTCTATCACATATTATAGTCCTTAAAAGAATTCCAATTTTGAGTGTTTTTAGGCATAATATCAAAAATAGCCCCCCTACGTTTATCAAAATGATAATTTTGACCCTTATTTTTTGAGCATTTTGGCCCCTAACATTTTATTTTGAGACAAAGGCTCCATCTATAGATAAACATCATTAGTTAATATATGATTAGTACTCCAAAATAGGAGCCTTATTAACCTAAAATGAAATGTTGAGGGCTAAAATGCCCTAGAAAGAAAGAATAAGGAACATAGTAATTATTCTGTCAAATGTTAGAGATTTTTTTGTCTTAAAATGAAACGATAGTGGCCAAAATGCTCTAAAAATAGAATAGGGGACAAAATAACTATTTTGGTAAATATTAGGGGTCTAATTTTGGCATAATGCCTTTTTTATTAATTAATTTTGGATTTGAATCGAGAGAAAATATCAAATTTCAAGATTAATATGAACAACAATATTCAAATTAAATCAAGAAAAAACTATCGAATTAAAAGACAAAATATTAATTTATTCATTATATAAAATTTTCCTTTTCATTGTAGCAGAATACAATAAACAAATTCTTTTAAGAAATAATACAATAATCAAATTTAAACTAAAATCATAGGTGGTGTGGTATGGTTATTCTTAGGGTGTGTTTGGTTGGGGGAATGTGAGATTCTCATGAGAATGTATCCATATTCCCCCATTTGGTTGGCAAGGAATGTCATTCTCAGTAATCTTACATTAACAATAGTGAATTTTTTGGGGTGTATTACCGGGAATGTCATTACATCCATTTCCTTAGGTATTGTTGGATTACCGACATTTTGGACTAAAATGCCCTTAAATTTTTTTTTCTTTTAAAAAATATCCTTATTTTGTCATTGAATAATAAAAATTATGCGAATGTTAAATTATAAATTTATCCTTAAACTATTTTAGATTTACAAAAATTAGTCTATAATTAAAATTTTATATGAAGTTCAGGGGTTAAAATAAAATTTTACCTTTTCATTAAACCTTTTTATATTTTCAATTTTGTAAAAAAATTATATAAATTTTATGAATTTAATTTTTTAAATAAAATATATAAATATTTTCCAACTTGTTAAAAAACAAATATATAATAAGGATAATTTGATCAAATATACATTTAAATAATCTTTTATTCCTTTAACCAAACACGATAATCTTACATTCTTGTTAAACCAACCAAACACAAAATACAACATTCCCAGTAATCTTATTACCTAGTAATCTTTTATTCCCACTGGTAATCTTACATTCCATGAACCAAACGCACCCTTAGTTATGGTCGAGGTTTAACCCTAATAGTGATGATGATAAATATAATGTTTAGTATGAGTGATTATTAAAGGATTATGGTGGAATTAATACACGTGATTTTTATGTACCAGTAATTTTATTCAATTATTGAATAGTAAACTAATTAAAATCTTTCAAATTTTGATTTAAATCAATCTTATATATTTGAGTTCCGAAATAAAAGGATATTAGCTTTTAATTAAAACATTTTTTATTAAGATAAAGTGATTACAAAATAGTATATGTTCTAAATACTCTCAATCATTTGACAATAAACGTTTAATCATCTCATTGCAATCGCGGATGATTAAATTAATGTTACGTTTGCACCAAAGCGGCATCTCTTAACCCAAAATATATTTACTAAAATCCCTTTTAAGTCTTATAAGATATAGGAGGATAAATCATATAAAATTTTATAAGGGTCTAAACTAAAAATATTGAATTATGTATTAACTTATACAACGAAACTCGAACTTCATTGAATGATGATAAAGCATAATATAAAAAGTCACTTCAATGTAACAAAATCTTAAGGGGCGCATTGGTCCAAAGAGGATAATATTTTCTTTATTTTATGGATATTGAACCTAGAACATGAGAGAATGGAATGTGAATCCTTACCTACTAGATCTGTAACACCTCAAGTTCTGGACTAGTAGTTTCAGGTTTATCCGAGAGGTAAGTGGACCACGTGAATTTTATAATTTAATTCTTTGGGCCGTGTTAAGTTTAATTGGGTCGGTTCGGAGCCCAATTAGCTAAAAATGAGTTTTTAATGTTGGGTTATTAAAGAAGGACCAAAGATGTAATTATCCCATTTTCAAATTTTGAAGCCTTTATATATTCTTTCAATTTCTTTTTCTCCTCATTTCTTCCATTTTCATTCTTTTTACTCTCTTCTCCAAGGGTCTAGCTAAAGGTAAGAGTTTAAGCCTTTTTCATGCTTCATTTTCGTTCGTAATTCCTCCAACAACGTTGTTTTGTTGAATCAAGCCTAGGGTTTTTATAGTTAAAGAGAAAAGTGGGAGTTTTCATCAAAACCATCAAGGAAAGGAGTTTGGCTAAGCAAAGGGCATCAATTCGGGTTTCTAACTTCAAGGTAGTGTATTTATAATCCTTTAGAGTATTAAGTTTTCATAAATTTAAGGATTTGGCTAAGATTTGAGTATTTAAGCATTTTAGGGTTTATATTTGATATCAAGATCAAATCATATTTTAGAGATTAAAAAGACGTTTTTATGCTACTTTAAGACCCTAGTTAACTCCCTAAAACTTTAGCACACGATTAGAAACCAAACTATGTCCTTTTGGATGGTTTTGGGTGATTTCTCGAGCCTAAAATAACCATTTTAGGGTCCAAGTATCGTTACTGGGATGAACAATATCAATACTGGATGAATTGGGGTAAAAGTTAGGGATTTCAGGTTGGGAGTATCGATACTGCCAAGGAGAGTATCAATATTGCCCTCCAGTATTGATACTCAAGGTGACAATATCGATACTGAGCCCCATTTTCGAAAGCAGAATGCATTTTTGGTACCAATACTCATAGGGATATCGATAGTTAACCCTAGGGTATCGATACTACTCACTTTGGATGGTCAGTTTTGACCTGGTTAAGGCCTGTAATAGCCAAGGACAATCCATAATAGTAAGAATAAGTCTGTGAGGGACCTGAACGCCTAAACATACCTAGAAACACTCGTGGAAGAGAGTTACAACAGAGGTAACCATTTTAAGCAATATATGTCTAAGTATCTTCAGTCGAGCACATATGTGGATAGTGGAGAACGAGGATCATTACAGAGGATGTATCGACCAATGGAATAACGAGCAATTCAGATTCAGAGAAAGTGTAGACTTCGAGAATGTCAGTGAACCTAAGAGGTGTAAGATGTCATTTCAATTCGAGTGGTATCGAAAGAAAGTTCAATAAGGGCGACCAGAGTGTCATAACCTAGTGTTGAACCCGAGTTAAGCATCGGGCTAACGAATAATATAGTCAGTGAACATCAACCTCAGAATTAGTTAAAAAAAACCCCAGATCACTTAAAGACTTCGCTAAAGGCAGAGAATAAGTAAACTACACATTAGTAACGAGAGATCATAGTGAAGCATCGAAGTAACTAACAACAATATCAAACCATTAAACCTTCGTGTAACATTCTAGATAGAGAACGAGCAAGATAACATCTAGAGAGAGGACAACCTCACCTTTGTGAGTCCAGATATGCTAGGGTATACCCATGTTACCTTAGTTTCCTCAGTAGGGCATTGTAAGTGCACAAGGCACTTTAGGAGTTAGCGAGGGCGCAAGGCCCGAGCACTCACGAGAAGTCAACTAGAGATGTCAGTGTCATATGGCCTATGAGCCTTAGGTATGCATGTATATTCGCATCAGTCCAGTTCAGGCGGTGGTGATTGTCTAGTGGTAAAGGATATCTGAGGACACCTGAAGTAAGTGCGCGAGGCACTTTTGCGGATGACTATGTATGGAGGCCTTAACACTCGCGAGGGGTGGGTTGGCAGGTGTGATGTCCTTACCAAGATACACTACAATAAGTGCACGAGGCACTTCGATGACTAATTTGGGCGCGTGGCCTAACACTCGCAAGGGGTGGGTTAGGCGGACATGTTGTCCTTAGTTGCTAGTGTCTGGTGCCTTTGTGAGACCATATACTAGTCAACATTGCATATAGATAGTACAAAGTTGAGTTAGAGTTGCATTTAAATAATGCAAAGCAGTTGCAGTCAGTCCGAGTAGAGACCCAATAAAGGTATACTCAGGGCGAGGCCCTTGTCTGAGGACTAAGGGAAGTGTAAGTCTACTACTTCAGTGGTAGAGCAATAAAGCCTTAAGTAGGTAGCACTTAATCAAGATCATATATGTGTCTACTGCTTAGTATCATATCTTATCACGCTTATGCTTATGAAATTCTTATGTTGCTCTGGTTTAGTGATTATACTGCTAGGCTTTGTAAGCTCAACCTTTGGATGTTTTCCGTTGGCAGGTTGGTAGCTTGAGTAGTTTATGGAGTACTGTCGCAGTAGGAGTTCCAGCATCTTCTTCAGAGTATTGTACTATATCTTTAGTGGGCATGTGTACTCAGAGAACCTTACTTGTGTATTTATTTTATCAAACAATGAGATATATTATTTTGATTTTAAATTATGTGTCACGAAGCTCCGGTTTGTAAAATGTTTAAATAATTGTGTTATATGTTGTACAATACAATTGAGTATGTTTTAAAAGAAAACGAGTAGGCTTTGAAAAACAATGGTTGTATCGGTAGCCCGATGTGACACTTTAGACCCATTCGAGTTTAGGGTGTTACAAGACCACGACTAAAAATATAAAGAAAATAATATTTGATTTATGTTGAAAATAAAGACATTATTATATATTAATCATATTATAATATCATGATAACTTCACGAAGAATATTAAAAAGA